CCCAACTGTCAGTGCCTTAAATTAGAATATAATGAATGTTTAATACTTTAAGGCAATCCATAGATTTGTAAACAGGCTTATAAATTTTTGCAAAAAGTTTTATCCCCTAATTGTAATTAGTTTAATGTTTTATAAATAAATAAAATCAATTATTTTTTATAATTATATAAGTTTTATTTTAATGTTAAATATTTGTTTTGGGATTAATTTAAATAATTATGTAAATAAACAACTAACACTTTGACACTGTATTTAAAAGAAGCAGATTTTTGAGTTTAAAAGAGGCAGTTTCCCCCCATAATAAAAACACATTTAAATATACAAAATATTGTTCAAAATTTTTAATTTAATTTTAATTATCAAATGATATTTTTTATTCCGAATTAAAAATTTCATTCGATATTTAAAATTAAACTGTCAAAACAATATTGTTAACTGTCAGGATTTTTTTATATTAGTAAATAGTACTATAGGAAATAAAATAGCATTATTCCATGTTAAAATTACAAATATTAAACAATATAATAGTAATATATTTATATAACAATAATATTTAACTCAAACGAATATTTAAAATTTGGAATTAAAATAAAAGTTGCAAAAGTTTTTTGCACTTAAAAAAATTGAGTCAATTAAAAATATTGCTTAAGATTAATAATTTAATTACCAATATTGCTTTAATATTTTTAATTCATTCATTTAGTTTTCAGCCTTGCAACAAACTAGAAAATTCAATCTTTTATTTTCAGTTCAAAAATAAATCGAATTAATAATGTTGATATTTAAAATTTAACATACAATAGGTATCAAATGATATTTTTAATTCAATAAATTACTATATTTTTAATTGTCAGGATTTTTTATATTAGTTAACAGGACTAAAGGAAATGATATAGCATCATTAATTAAAATTAATTACAAATATGGTAGAGACGTTTAATTTACTGCTGATTTACAAATTGCTTAGTAAAAAAAGCTTTTGCGTTCTATATTTACAGAAACTTTGATTACAAAGTTTGTTCCATAATATACACACATTTGAAGCATATAGTTAAGGACTCTTTCAAAGAGATTAAAAATACTCTTAATATAATGGACCTTTTAAATTAATTAATAATGCATTAATGGTTTGCGTACCTTAAATAAAGTCCAAATGTGGTATAAAGCAACTTTTCAGTGTATTTCCAACATCTATTTTTATATACAAAAGTTTTTTAAACAAAAGTGCTCTTTTAGTTCCACCCTTACTTCTTAAGAAGTCCCATAAGCCAACTGAATTGCTTGTGCGGGTTAGGGGTAGGAACGGACCGCGGGCTTAAAGTCCCCTCCGAAGGACTATTACACGATAGAACAACCACAAATAAACAGCCATACCCCTGGTGGGATTCGAACCCACGACCTCCGGCTTGTATACATATATATAGTCAGCAGCACTAACCACTAGTCCACCGTCGGACTGTTATGTTACATAATAAATACCTTTTTATGGGTGAATCTCATGAAATGTACCCGATGGTGTTACCCCGTGATATTTAATAAAACTAAATGAGTTTGACCTACACTTTTATTGTGTTTTGATCTTTTATACTTAAGTAGATATTACAGCTCAGGTTCCAGATTTCTAACCGCAATTAATTATTTATTACAATGTTTTAAATGTCTATATGTTTTCATATATCTGAGGTAGTAAAAGCATACTAAAAATATCAGTTCACTAAGTAAATTAAACACATCCAAAGGAATCAAATCAAATATAAAATATTATTAAAAATTAAAAGAAATAATTTTTAAAACCATTTAAGTAGGTGTTACAAAAATTGATTCTATCCTCCGTGAATCTGTTTTTGCTTTAAATTTTTTCAACAGATGGCGATATAATCATTTTAAATAAGCAAAAACCTCTGTTTACGACATTATAAATGACCTATCCACCTTGAAGTGGCTTACCAAAAACCCCATTCTAGACTAACAGTGAAACAACCAAAAATAAAAAAATATTCATTTTTACCAGGGGGACATCTCAATATATTTACCCATATATTATTATTATTACAACAATATTATTTACAACAATTGGATAAAGATTGTGGACCACCTTTTTTCTGCTCACTGCTCTTACTTAAGTAGTTACTCCTCGCCTACAATAGTCGCAAAATGTATTTTTACGGCTTACGTCTTACGCCACCCAATCAAAGTTCTAAAAATTGATGTGATTGGTTGACGTAAGACGTAAGTCATAAAATATAGATTCTGTTACAATTGTAGACTGGGCTTAATATTTAACTGTTAATTTTGTATAACACACAAAAAGTTATCAATTAAAACTGCTTTGTTTATTATTAGTCTTTCAGTTGCACAAACCCAAGTCACTTTTTTTAAATTGTTTATGCGCCAACTTAACTTTAAAATATTACGTGTCACCAGATGTTAGAAACAATTATGCTCTGTGAATACTGTAGTTAATCGTTTAAATAAATTATAACTGAGCTTATACGCATGCTTTATGCTAAAATATGCAAGTAAGCGTTTTAGAAAAGACATATTTTTGCGCTAATGAGTTTTCGCCAGAAATATTCGAATATAAGCGGATATAGAGGGAAATTGTTTAAAGGAAAAAAGTAATTTTTTTAAAGATTTTTCTCTTTCGAGTGTGTTAAATGTAATACTGCAATTCTTACAATTAAAATAAAAAAATTAAATCTAATAAAATCCTTGTTTATATTATTTATTTATTTGGTTTTTTCAAAAATTCGGTTTAATTTTAAATAAAACTGCTTCCTTTTTATTTTTCATTCAAATTTAACCTTTTTAATAATAAATTCTATACACTTACATTTATTATCCATTATTCTTTCTTAAGCGTGAACCTTTGTTTCCGTTGGTCTACAAAGTACACACGTTGTGTCTAAATAAAAGAGCATGTTAATCTATTACATATATTATATAAACAAATTTAGGATCTGCGTACAGGGAATTTTTTATGTACGAAAATTTTATTATTTAATATTTAATATTTTCAATTTTTTTTATTAATAAATAGTTGAACCTGTAATTGTGCTAACAAGCTCAAAGTTCGAAAGCCACTTCTCAGCTAAGTTGCATAAAAAATGTATCTTTAAGGTACAATTTAATTTGTTAACCGATACATAAAACATATAATTATAATAAGTAAGTCGAATTTTTTTATTGGCCAAACGAGTTTTTTACACACTAGGAGGTAGAAAACCTGATTGCTCTAATTTATTATGTATCAAGTTTGATAAACGCCATTTTATACACGAATTAAATTTAGGAACGAGCGAGCTTGCGAGCGAGTGCCTAAATTAATAAGTGTATATAAAAGTTTACAAACGAGGTGCATACTATACTTTTTCTACGACAAATACTTATTATTATCTTAAAATGATTTAAATCAAAAATTTGTATAGAGCGCCATCTATGAAACAATAGGGGAATCTGTGTTAACGTCAAACGTGTTATAAACACAAATTGTAGAGGTTATAAATCGAAACGTATTTCTTGAAAATTGACAGTTTTTCACAGTGAAAGTAAAGAAAATGTTTTATGAGCACTTTACAGTGGAGTCCGTGCCCGAATTTAAGTTATAGTTTACTGCCGGCAAAATTAAAAGGTCAGTACAATGTTCATATAAACTTTACAAATATTGGCGTTGAGAAACTATTTAATACTTTTGTATTGAGATAATAAAATAATTTTCACATTTAGTATTATTTTACAAGAAAGGCACTTTATTTTAACGATTGTATGACATTTGACAACTGAAAACTAACTTAAAACTAACTTCAGCTCGTGACTAAAAACCTGTTGCTAACTTCAGCCCGTGACTAAAGCGCCATAAAGCCACAACTTGTCAATGTGTATTTAAAAGGTCGCTTACTGTCATGGAAACATGTACGATAAAGGGCGTTTTAAAGGTGGGAGTAGAAAAAATTATTTTGGATGCTAGATTACGAAATACCACTTTTGCATTAAAAAAAAATCAAAAGGATTCACAATCAAAGTATCAAACAACATTTTTTCGAAAACTGTATCCCAAAAAAATGTGAAGAGACAGTTTTTTACATAGCAACGAATCTAAAAGACTTTTTTCTACAACCGAGCTTCCAAAAACTCTGGTTTTATACAAAAAATTATGTTAAAATTTTACAAAATAAAATTAACAAACTACAAACTCATGTTAACAAATCTGATCAGAGTTTATATGCAATTTAGGATTTCTTTTTTGGTATACTTGAATGTTATTAATAAGAAATTCTGTGTTCTAATAAACTGTATTTAAAAACATTTTTTAAACCAACCTTTTTTCTATTCATTAAAACTGCTATTGGAATTGTTAATTCTACAATGTAGAATCTACATCTTCATGTTGGACTTACATAAAAATACATATAAATGTCAATGAGGAATTAAACAGATGCATTAAACTTTCCATAGTTTGACACTAAGGCTTAGAGACTAAGCCCTGTATAATTCGGATCAATAAAACTTGAACAGTTCGTCCCTATATAGGTATACTTAGCAAGTTACTAACTTTACTAACGAGGGATTTTGTGTATTACTTCGATTTTAATTAAATAGGAAAAAAGACTTTTTGGCATTTTAGTTACGGTCTGAAGTTAGCTTATTATAAATTTCTAAAAAGTGAGGTTAAATCCTTCAATTGTCAAATATTTATATATTAAAATTATTATTTCTTTTCGTTGTAGATAAAGTATAGTATTCGTTGTATAAATTTCTCTAGACATTGGTTTTTATTAAACACTCGCTCGCAAGCTTCGCCCGTGCCTAATAAAACGCGTAACTAAAATAGAGTTTATAAAACTTGATACATAATATAGTATTAACTCGCCTGGCTCGTATTACAAACACCATTTAGTCTAAATCTAAATGATTTAGAATGATTATTTTGGTAGTGTTATTTTGCTGAATAGCTTAAGATTCCGCAAACGGATCGTCCTTATCTGTTATTTGTGTTGCAGGACCGGCAAATTGCATTATCCGACCAATGTTTGCGGCCCGTTATTCGAAGAGGAGCTCGAGTTTTGGGGACTGGACTCGAATCAGGTCGAACCGTGCTGCTGGAGCACGTACAGCATACACAGGGACACTCAGGTGAGTTAAGGTTGACACTTAAAATGCCTGAGAGTTTTTCTTAGATGGAAAAATATCTTATTATATATAATACACGGTGCTGTTCTGAGAGGTGATTTTTGGACTTTTTGTGAAACCTAATTTTTTTTATATTCTTGTTAATTAGGTCATAACTAAAATTTTAAGAGCAAAATAAAAAAAATTTAACGGTTTGAATTGTTTTAATTGGCTGTTTATTAAAAATATGTATGCACACTTTCAATTCTCCAATTAAAACTTGCGATTTTATTTAAATATTATCATAACTTTTTAAATCAGATTAAAGATTAGTTAATTTCCTAAAAAAGGTCTATACATTTTTTATATCTTTTACTGTTTTGTTGTAATACACGTTTAAAGTTTTAATTAAAGGTTAAATGTATAGTATACATTTATTAAACAATAATTCTAAGGGTGCCACATTTTATTTAGGGCCGATTTATTCATTTTTGATTTGTTTGACGAATAATTTCTTTGGATACTAGATATTGCCAAGACATGAAAGTTATCGGCCCGATAAACTTTACTAAAGATGAATAAACCGGCCTTTAGTTAAATTTCATGAATTTCTTCGTGACTTTTACTACAACTTTTCATTTTTGTTTATAAAAAACACTTTAAAAAACTAAACAAAAATTATAGAATACGTATACTGAAAATGATAATTCAAACGTCAAATAAATTTTTAATAGATCTAAGTTTCATGGCAACCTTTAAGGATATATTAATTAAGGGAACATAAATGTATACGTCAAAGGTTAGATTAAAAGTTTGAACGTTTATTGCAACAAAACAGTAAAATATATAAAAAAATTGTAAAAACCTTTTTTTTAGTTATGCAAATATTAAATATTTAAATTAAATCACTAGTTTTAATTGGATAATTGAAAGAGGTCATAATATTTTTAATAAACAGCCAATTAAAACAATTCAAACCGTTAAATTTTTTTTATTTTGCTCTTAAAATTTTAGTTATGACCCAATTAACAAGAATATAAAAAAAATAGGTTTCACAGAAAGTCCAAAAATCACCTCTCAGAACAGCACCGTGAATAACTAATTCCCTGATTATTTATTTCTTAACTTTAATCCGAAGTTAGCTTTAAGTTAAAATTAAAAAAAGTAGGGTTAAAATGTGTTGGCAGATGTCATATAAAATATTAAATTTTATTTCATTTCATTTTAAGCACGGATTTTTGTTTTATTATTTTATTTATTGCAGAAACAGTATACTGTGTTTATAAATAAGCATATATTTTAATAGCACTATGGTGCTATGTATACTCACCGAACAGACAGTCAAACAAAAATGTCAATGTTCAACTCTTTAATCGGGAAAACAGCTAAAGATATTTTATTTCACATACATTACTATTCTTGTATGTTTGCCCCTTTGTCTCACTCACTGTCGACCGACAGGTAATTTGATCTAAAAAGTATTTGGGCACTTTTTCTGTATCAAAAGTGCAGCAAACATTTTTCTTAAGTATACAAGTGAAAGTAGGTCTATTTTACTAAAAATAAAAAAAATATATGTATGCAAAAATGTATTTAAAAAAAATTACACAGTAGCTACTAACATGCAACACGGTACTCTAAAAATGAATTAGTCAAAAATGACAAATTTAATAGTCATTAGTGGCTGCTTTTTCACTTGAGGAATATCATGGTATCCCAAAATTTAACAGCCAATTAGTATGTAAAATTGTCCCCTGAATCCGAAAATACCATCAAAAATTATGAAAGTGGAGCAGTTTTTGAGATAAAGTCAATTCCATATTAAATGGAAAATTGACTATATCTCAAAAACTGTTCTACTTTTTTAACTTTTGACGACATTTTTGGATTCAGGGAACAATTTTACATAAGAATTGGCTGTTAAATTTTGGGATACCATAGTATTTCATGGTTAAGCAAGGTACAAGTGAAAAAGCAGCCACTAATAACTATTAAATTAGTCATTTTTGACTAATTTATTTTCAACGTATAGGTTGAGAATACGTTTAACCCAAAAGTGCGAAGACTTGAAATTTTTTTCATTTTATGTTTCTAGGAGGTCAACCGATCATTTTGAGCCCAATTAATATAGGTTGTAGGTCAACCCTTCGAGAAAATTTTATTTGAATTTTTTTTTACATATTTTGGAATATTGGTTTTGTTTCTTCAAAAAATTTTATTATATTTTATTTTGTTGAAAAATATTTATTTATTAACATCCCAAATTATAATATTAATATTCCCAAATAAATCATTCTTTTCTATAGCAAAAATAATTTATCAGGGCTGTATTTCACAAAATTTATTTTAAGTAAAATAAAAAAGTTGATATTTTTTATAATTAATTTTAAACTTGTTTTTAATGAACTATACTATAAGTATACTTAAATATATTTAAATTTTGGTAAAAGTTGTCTTAGCTTAAGTAAAACTAATCTTATTAGCTAATCTTAACATATTAAAAACATAACGTTTTACTTAAACTTAACTTAAGGAGACTAATCTCTAACCCTCTATAATGAAGACTGCAGCTGCAGCATACGAGGTGTGTTCAGAAAATAACGGAAATGTTAAATTTCGCGGGTTCGGAGTGTCCGGTTGTCATAAAATTTTCTTTATTATATTGTTGTACATGCCCCCGAAGTATGATAAAAACTTTAGCTGTTTTCATTGTTTACTTTGTTTGTGGCAGCCGCTAAGGTTAGACGTGTTTTTTGAGCTCGGCGATTTTTCGTTCGTTAAAAGAAATGGATCAAAGAATTTGTATCCAATTTTGCTTAAAAAAGAAATAAATTCTGTGAATTGTTAACAAAGGCCTATAGTGAGTCTTCTATAAGTAAAACAAGAGTTTACAAGTGGTATAAGAGTTTCCAAGATGGCCGTGAAGACGTTGAAGATGACGAACGCCCCGAACACACAAGCACATTAACAACCGATAAAAACATGGAAAAAAAGAAAGAAATGGTTATAAACCATCAGAGAAGTCGCTGATGATGTTGGTATATCGATTGGCTCATCCCATGAAATTTTTTCAAATGTTTTGGGTATGAAACGCGTGGCAGCAAAATTTGTTCTAAAATTGTTAAATTTTGAACAGCATTTTTGGCCAAAAACAATACTGTAATGATGCCCCAGCCCCCATATTCGCCAAACATGCCCCTGTCTGACTTTTTTCCTATTCCCAAAAATAAAGAGAACCTTAAAGGGCCGTCGTTTTGCAAGCATAGATGACATTAAAAGCGTATCGCTGAAAGAACTAAAGGCTATGCCAAAGATCGAGTTTTAGAAGTGTTTCGAGTATTGGAAGAAGAGCTGGCACATGTGCATAATATCCAATGGGGACTATTTTGAAGGCGACAACATTAATGTAGACCAATAAATAAATATTTGTTTCAAAAAACGAAAATTCCCGATATTTTCTGTGGGTCATATTCTGGCCAAAGAGTATTTATTTCTTCTTTTAAGTTAAAGTTAAACATGCTTTTGGTCTTGACGAAACTTATTAAACAAATCCTTGAACGATTTTTCTTTCCCACGGCATTTTAGAAAAAATACTTAGAAAAAAAACAATTTAAATGTTTCTAAATACTGATAAATAATTGTTTGGTTGCCATGTCAACAAAGTTACCTAAATGTTAAATTGGACATGGCCGACTTTTTAAATCAGATTATTTTAGGGAAATCTTATAATAGTTTTACCAATGTTTTAAGGTGTGTAATTCCACACATGCAAATTTTTTAGGTGTAGAGTTTGGTACACTTGCTCGCAACAAAATCACGTAAAATAGTGCTGTCTAGATGTTTTTTTTTTAATTTTGACTTTTTATTTTAAAATAGGTTATAGACAGTTAAACATTCTTTATAAATATAATTTTATTATAAAGGTGCAATTTCATGCTGACGCTCGTTTTCCAGCGTCAGATCAGTCTTACCAACCAATCCAAATTTTTCCTTGATTTATTTTTTGAATAGGTCATTGCTATGTTTGTTTCAATTAAAAACCATAAAGAATATTACGTTTAGCTATTTTATTTATATATATAATATAATAATATAAGTATACCTACTTTTCACTATATCTACCTTTAGGAAGCAGCGTCAAAGCAACAAAGGAAAATTTGTTTTAGCTTTTTTATTACTTTACTTTGTATATATAGTCGCCGCAGAGAATCTTTTCCGTTGCGTCATCATTTTGTAAACCAAGCCCAGACATTACTGTTTCTGCTATTACTGCCCAATCTACGTATGTGGGATGTATGCCGGACGTACTTCGACAAACCGGTTTTTGACATTTGAAATCGATGACGCAACGGAAAACATTCGTCGCGGCGACTATACTTAATACCTCTTCCGCCGCCCCTGAAAAAAATATAGCATTCTCTTCATATTTCGAGAACTTACCTAACAAATCCATACAGAATTCACAGTCGACAGCCATTGTAAGTAAAAGCTACTCGTTCAGCATAAGAGGCACATAATCGTAAACTTATCATCTATTGTTAAACTTTACCTGTACTTGCTACGATTCTGAAGCATGCTTCGCAAAACTTTTCCATACGTATGAAGGATTTCATACAATCTTTTCAACTGCTAGTCTAAAATGAAACATTATTTAATTTTGCGCTTTATACAAGTAATATTAAAAAAATGTCCTGTCTTAGCATTCTTTGCATGGCCACAACATTTTATTTGCGAAAGTTGAAATCGGCAATATATAAGACCATTTAATTACTTAAAAATTACACATACGTTAAATATGGTTCGTCTCTTCCCCAGAGGTAAAAATCCAAACTTTTTCATAATATTAGAATATTCATGGTCCGTCCATTTCAATATCTTGAGCTTTTTCAATCAATGCGTTATAAAGTAAAATCAAACTCTTCAAACATTTTTAAAGTCATAATATCAAATATACGACCAAAATACACAAAACCCACTTTCAAACTACGTTGGACGAATGTATGTTTTTATAACATTTCCAAAAC